CACTTCGTCTCGACGGTAAAAGTTACACGCGTTATGATTACTACCATTTGATTATACTTCTAATACTCGTTTAACAATTTTCATCGCTCTGAAATCAACTTTAAAAATTTAAATTTCACCTTATTAACCAAGAGATTTCAAAATATCTCATTTTTTGGCCAAGGTCATAATATTGTAAAAAGCAGCCCGCTAAAGCAAACAATCAAATTACTGGGAATCAAAAAACATCGTTTCACATTCAATGTAGCCATAGGTAATTTCATATAAAGTACTATATGAACTTACTTATGGCTACATTGAGCATCCCAGTTTGCTTTAATCATACAGATTTTCTAAACATATATGCTTACTTCTCAGATCAATTATCTTGTATGTCAGAAGAAAGCCACTCTTAACAATACTTCTGTCCGTCTTAAATTGTACAACGACATTTCCGTTTTTGAAGATCATAGGACGACTATTGATAATCGATTTATCACACGTAAAGTTGGATTTGACACCATCTGATAGTGACAGTTTATCATAACCGCAAGTTGCATGGCCTACATAAAACAAAGACACTTTATTTTATTGTTGAATTCTAATTCTATTGACGTAAAACTGTACTTGATTTGAATTTAGTTTAAAATAAGGAAGAGCCTAATTACTCGTGCTCTGGAGGGGCACGAGTAGAGGTTTCGGCTTGTGGTGCCAAGAAATTGACTTTTTGACCAAGAATGCTTTTTGATTTCAGAATATGGTGACTGTAAAGAATGACAAAATAAAATTCTTCAACAATAGAAACATTGAAGCTATCCTTTTTCGAATAATTATACGAAAAACGCGAAATATATACGCACAAAAGACAAAGCTACGTCACAGCATAATACACGGTGCGAAATATACGTTTAAATACAATATGAAAGCAAGAAATATCATCGATATTTTGACTTTGTTGTTTACAAATTTTTACGGCTTCCTTTACTTAAGAGATTTTTCATTTAAGAGGATTAATAGTACTTGTAACGCTTCTCTTTTGCTGTTATTTAAAGTGTTTATATTACGAATTTTAGCCCCCCTTTTTTATTAGGTAAATTGAAAGACCTTGTTTCAGTGATTTTAAATCTGCAATTATAATTGAAATTAGATTGGCGAACGTGATTTTACGGACGTTCAAAGTCACGATTTTCAGCATTTTTTTTGCGAACTTTTTGATCGGTATGCTAATGACTTGTGACGTTGAAAGTTGAACACATATATCAACATGGCGTATTCTATTAGTAATCTTAATAAGAAACGCGGAGGAAAACGCTGTGTTGCTGGCGGACCTAATCAAATTAGTTGCGCCAATGATTCAAAAACCGAAGGAATGTCGATGCATCTGTTTCCTAAAAAAGAAACAGAGCCGCAAAGACATAGAAAATGGGTAAATTTTGCGCGTAAACATAGACCGTGTTTTGAGGCTTCCTCTACCTCGTGTCTGTGTTCTGCGCATTTTGAAGATTCTAGTTTTGACCTTATTTCGAGCGTGCAAGTCAAGCTCAAAAGAAGGTTGAAGAAAGATGCTATCCCAACCATTGACGTGGCTGGGATTCCTGAACCATTACAGTACGAAATAACCGATCGAAAGCGAAGACAAGTAAGTTTACGCTTGTTTATGTTAATTTTTCTTTTGTCATATGTAAATTCGATATAAGTTTTGTAGATTATTCGACGTACTCTCCATAAGCCGTCGCTGAAGGAAACATGTTCTCTCGATTAGGAAGTACCATCTACTAGTGATGGAGCTGAGCATTTTGAAGTATGCACTGGGAAAGCAAACGATTCGCTATTTGAAGAAAAACTGCATGCAGTTGGTGAAGATATTTGTGAATCCCAGTCTCCATGTTAATCGTGCCATCGTCTTAAGAAAAAACTTACATCTTTACAAAAGACTTTAAGCTGTTACAAAAAGACAAAAGCATCTTTGAAGAAAAAGGCCCAGAAGTTGCAAAATGAATATCAAAGCGAAATCAGGGAAAATCGTAATATATCCGTGGTGACCATCATTAATATAGACGATGAAATGCAGGGGAGTGCTGAAGAGCTTTTCGAAGGAGAATCATACATGGACTACTCCTCTTTCAAAGAGTCTAGTCAGAGTGAAGATTTAGATGAAGATACCACAAGTAATACATCAAGTTATGCTATGATTTAATTCCATATATTTTTTCTTTTGTCTTTTTTCCCAGACTGACATTGATGAAAAGATTTTCTTTCATCTAATTCTTTCAGCTTAACCTCTCAGTAGTTGCACCAATTTGTTTTTATTGTTTACTCTTGTTTCAAACCATTAAACTGCATGTCAACGTATATAGTGCATCCATGTATCTCCTATTTGGTTTTCATCTAGGCATATTTCCTGACCATTCTAAACTCAGCAAAGAAGGTCAACAGTCTCTACAGTGCACAAGTTAAAAGACCTTTCGCCCCTCTGATGGTATGTAACCTTTTGTGTTACCACTTGGATATGCTTTCCGAATAAAGTGGTAAACACAAGCAGGTAAAGGCCGAGTATTCTCCCATCCCATAGACCCACAAAACCATCGCGTCAACCATCTGTATGCCACAGCTCTCAAGTACCTGAAGTAAATAAAAAGGTTGGACTAATTTGTGTTGATGAAACAGTGTTGATGATAACATTGTTTCTCATACAATTTACAATCTTACATATTTAATGATTGTGATGGTTGGTAGCGATAAGCACGTCCATTCCTATCTCTCAATAGTGGCCCGACGTTTTCAAGGACAGCCTCATGAATTAAAGGCCCAAATTTGGCATGCTGTGTTATGCATGATATTTTCTCAATGCTGCCATCGGATGTCATTTTCTGCAAAGCTGGTTCTATTTCCTTACAGCATCTGTACTCTAATGCGCCTTCTAACAAATCGGTATGACAGCACTGACAATTACACCTGAAACGTGGGAGCATTAAGGTTTATAAAGTAACTTTATGTATATTACAAACAGGAGAAAACAACAACTTACCATTCACCGAGTGAAATTACGCCATCACTTCGTTGTTCTAATGTCGCAGGGACAATTCCATCGGGATTATCTGGAGTATGCACTTCATCACCATCTCCTGCGAGCGGTTCATCGTCATATGCGATGTCTTTTAAATGCTCGACATAACCCACGGATTCCGAGCTCGAATCAGATACGCATTCAGACATCGAATTCGAATTATCTGAGCACTGATTTGAGGCCATACTTTCCGGAAAACTTGTTTTTAATATTTTATTGAAAATAATGTCATTATTTGTTTTTAAGACAAGAAAAACGACAACAAAATCACCTCCTATAATATAATATTATATTGACGGAAACAGACGTGTTCAACTATCTACGTCACAAGTATCAATATGGCGTCGTAAAAAATTCGCAAATAATTTACTTTCTCAGTTTCATTTGCATTAATGTAAGAAAATTTTAACATCTCAACAAACTGTAGAAGATTTGGTCACAGTCCAAAGTAAATATGCAAAACCATAAATAGCTTAAATTCTAAATATATTAATAACAATGTTCTATGACACGAATTTCTAATAATTAAAAATTCAGCATTATGCTTGCTTTGTGATTTACAATCAATCAAGAATAATTAGTGTTCTTGAAAAAAATTTTTACGAACTTTAACATTTGGGAGCTGAAACTATGCAAAAATAAATAAACTTACGTTCTATATCGTAATAATTGTATACGATTTCGACTGCTTTTTGTGGTGGTACAAGAATAGTGACACTGCATCGTAATCGGTGGGTGTAGTCATTAGGAAATCCGGGAGAGTGAATGCGACCGCTTGAGTGAGACAATGATGCAGAAGAACATACGTTACTTGTTGGAGGCAAATCATTTCCTAAACACACACAATTAATTTATCTACTAATTAAGTTAGTTTGTTGCTCAAAAACTTGAACTGCATTGTAATATAAATTTTTATAATTTAATCAAGACACCTATGTATTTTTTTAAGTCTTTATTTTATCAAAATGTATTTTTTTTAAGTCAGGTTAGTTTCAAAGAAGACATTCTCACAGAAATATAGGAAATGATTTTCTAGGTTATCCAGATTTCTCAACAAGCAGTAATCATATAACGGGGCTGTTTGTATGAATTCACACCTGAAATGACAGATAACCAGTGTCAGTTTCTAACGTTTTCCAGAAATACCCCATCCATAGAAATACCTATTTGTTTTTCTTGAATAACATAGTTTCATTTAAAATGGTATCTGTTGTGCTTGTGACAGGGTTTAGTAGTTCCCGACTCATAAAAAAGCTCGATAAATGGCATAGTTATCTATGTAGCTATATGCTGGCCAGGGATATCTTTTTGCTTTATGTATAAACAAAATATAATGCAAACATACGGTGGAAACTTGAAAATTTGAGAAAAAATCCTTCAGAAGAAACCAATCCATTCGATTTAAAGATTACGTTTACAATATTGGTATAAGGCACGAAAGTTAACGAAGTTTCATGACTGCAAAACTGTTTTGACGTCCCACCAGAGATAGTAAGAGAAGCCAGGCATAATTTTTTGCATCCTGTTTAACGCAAGAAATTAAATCTTTTAAAGCTATCATGTATTTGCTGTTTGATGTGGTTATGCACAATATTATCTACTTAGTATAAATTCAAAGTTATCGAATAAGACCGTACCAAAACCGATATAACTCCATTGCAAGTTAATGTTTAAGAGCGTGAACTTGATTGCCATGTCCAGAGACTGTTTGATCGTTATGGAGCAAGTCTTGGTATTTTTTCCATTTGTATTATTTGGAGAGACAATGAAGCCAGTATTTGCATTTAATGTTTTCTTTGAACAAATATTGATGGCGGAAGCTTAAAAATATCAAGAATAAGTTGCTCTGAAAGAAGCAAACTATATTTATGGCAACAGAATGATAATATTTTGTACGCTCTAGTGTTTATAATACATTATCTGTCAATGAATTATTTAAAAGTATTTTACTACTTTAATCTTTATATTTACCATTTGGATAACTTGCTGGGATTGTTGTTGGTGCTTTAAAAAAGAAACATTGGAGAAAGTATCAAAACACATTCTTCGCGTAAAAACTGAAAATAGCCACTAAAATGGAAACAGCTAACATTAAAAATATAGTATAAAATTTATCAATGGCAACAGTTTTATTTTATACCATTGGCCTTTCTGGAATCATGCAAATTGGAATATATCACACAAAAAGGTTTTCCCTCCAACTTCCTAATAATGTAATGTAAGCAATCGATGAGAGCAAAAAATTAAGCTTTTTACTCAATGCATGAAAATCATATATTCTTGCCCTGCAGACCTTATGCTATTCAAGCAAAGTCGCCAGCTAGGATGTTTCTCTTTCTTTTTACGTTTTAAAGCTTTTACATTGATCATTTATTTAAAAACATGTTGTTTATAAAGTAATTTTTCTATAAAGTGAAGTTAGGTAGTCACAAATAAAGTTCGAGAGTAAACAGTGTTGATGGAAAGTCAAAAAAAACTTTTGAGAAGTGTTCTTTAATAAAAATCTTTAGAAAATACAAAATGAAATATTTTTACATAGAATTTAAATGAAATGGCTTCTTTATAACTCAAGTAAACTTATATAAGAAATATTCAATCGTAGAATCAAGCGTATTTGACAAGCTTGCTTATTGTTTGACAAATTGACTTACTATAAATTAAAATTTTGAAATTTTACAGTCAAAAGAAAATTTTTTTGTTAGAGGAAGTTTTCTTTTTAATGCATAATGTACACAAATATCACCAAACTAGTAGATACCCTGGTCTGATCCAACATGGCACATACGCCAGTCCAAGCCTGATATAAGAGTTCACATGCAAAAATCATCATAGAGGCATATTGCACTTCGTTCACTTGCTTTTAGTTTTGACTAGATATGACACACAAACTTGACAATGAAGTGCCAATTATCACACAAGAAATGTGAATAATACAACTTAGTTACAAACTTACCAACTAGTTTTCTGATATTTGTGTACATTACATGTACACAAATATCAGAAAACTAGTATGTACTAGAATTTTTCAAATATATTTGTATGTTTTTATGTACTTTCTAGATAACACGATTTTTTATTGTTATTATGCTTATTTTAACTAAACGAATTTCGACCAAAAGAAGGGTAGAAATTGTTGTGTAAACTTTGTAATTTTCTTCAACCTCTTACGCTTAACTATTAACACGCATCTACGCCTCTCTTCTTTATTCTTAATTTTAGAAATTTCCTTTAACTCTTTAGGTTTGCCTTCTTGATACAAACATTTTTTGGGATAAACACAGAAAAATTGCAAAACATAACAAATCATCGGACTATCGACACTACTTAACAATAGATGAACACTTGATGATTTTTTACTGCGGTGTTTTAACTCGTTGATAATTAAATTTGCAATTTTTTTGAGAAAACTATTTTTGTTTATTTTATGTGTACCACTTTTATAAACGGCGAACAAATTAATTTCTTCATGTGGAATGACGTTTATATTTCAAGCATTATGACTGTTTTTGGTTTTTTTTGTTTATAATCAATCCTTACGCTTTTTTATTTATTCAATAATTTCGCAGGAATTAAAAACAATAATATCCTCTTAAAACAAAACAACATATTTTCCAAAAATATTGCGTGTTTTTGTTTAAATGTCAAAAACCTATACACGCAGTCTATACACAAAAAACTGTCATAAAGCAAGAGGTTTACTTACATACTCTAACCAAACAATTCTCTCCTGTAAATCCAGGACAACATTGACATCTATAGGGATTAGAACTAGGTCCATCTTTTAAATTAATAACCATTCTCCCTCCGTTTTTACATGTATTCTCTCTATTAGGTGGAATCTAAAATGATGTTTTAATTAGCTAATCATTTTTTAAATTCATTCAGGTTCAATAAAAATTCAATTTTATGATAGTATAAATTTCGCTTAGGGGTGGATTTAGTATACCTCAAATACCTCAACGAATCCAAGCAATGAAAATACATCAATATTTCAAAAAGAATTTTTGATTCAATCGCGAATTTTTTGAAGGAAAAATTAAAATGTTTGTTTAAATATATCAGTTTTGTATTATTCGTAGTTTATAAGACTGGGTTATGCAAATCTTGGAGAAGTTTGTGAGAACTCTCGAGCAGGTGCAACCATCAAACCTTGGCCTCTGGCTTGGGCTGATAAGCTTTCGAGTTCTCCCAAATATTTTCTCGGTCTGCATATACTAATGTAAAAACACCGTGAACATCTTTTATCTTTTAAGTAATTAAAATCATATTTACAGTCGGGATAGTCTTAACTCAGCTGTCAGTATCCAGTTTCTAATCCAGTTTATTTTGGGTTTACTTTTATGATTACATAATCACACAAATCTTATTCCACTTTGTGCAACATTTATAGCTACACGAGCCATAGATACACGAGCTGTAATGAGCATTCTGTATGTAGGAAAGGGGGGAAAATTTTGATGCACATTAGAAAAATATTAAGGATCGTGAAAAGTTTTTTAGACGGTAGAGCAGCAAAAACTCCTAAGAAGCGAGACTGATTGAAGCAGTTTTCATAAAGCTTACCCCTATTGTGGATAAAAAGCAATTTCTGAAGTCATGCAACAAAAGTAAATATCGATATGTTTGATATTCAATATTATTGTGAACATTCATGAAAGTAGTTATCCATTTACTGTTCAATTTAATAACTGATAGCAGAAAAAACAATCTATAATCAGGAGCAAGGCTGGAAAGCTATTTGGGGCAGGGGGGGGGTGACTATTGATATAATCTTCTGTGGCCAATTTGTTTCTTTTTATTTTGAAATAGATTGCAAAGGAAATCAGTCAGGTAAAGCTGAATATTTTTATACTCACCTACCCCCCTCAATTAGTGTTTTACCTTCCCTTGTATGAAACTAACAAACAACAATAAAGACTAACAAGAATGTGTAAGTCCAAAAAAGAAGACATTCAGAGGAAACTGTCAGTGTCAGAAATATTAGACTTGAAAAAAACAGTCTGAATGACAAAATAGATCACAGGAAAAAACACTCAGCAACAAGAATTGAAAAATATAATATACGAATTTGTATAACATCAAATGCGATGACATATTTTAAATGAACTCAATAGCGTGGCTAGCAAGCAAGTTTTGGTACAGCTATGTAAATTTAAAACATTAGCGTTATTTGTTTCTTTACAATTCTGCTGATTTTACAGTGAGTGAATACAGAAAAATTAACATAGCATGACCAAATCTGCAGGCTGGCTACTTCACTGTATTATTTGACACGTGTGACTTCATAAGGAAATTTTGTAAGGGTAATACCTTTCTTTTGGGATTAAGTAATTCATAAAAACTCCAGGTCTTGTCTTGGCAGTTTTCATTGTGTTTTGGTGGCTTATATGTCAGCTGGCATTTAATACTTTCCATCGTCTTCTCATCTTTCATATTGATTCCGGAACAGAAGGGATCTTGTAAACATTTCATTGAACAAGATAATCGAGAGGGGTATGTTGTTTCAAACAGAACATCTTCTGTAAGTTGACATGTCTCTAAAAAAAATTCTATTGCTATTAGAAGCGTAGCCAGCCCACAAGACTTATATACTTCCTATTTCAACTGGTATTTTTACAGTGAGGGAACAGAAAAACTTGCATTGAAAATTAAATGAGTAGGTTAGTGTGGGATTTTGTTGAAGTCGCTCGAATCCTTTGCAGTTGAAAATTTCTCCGTGGGACTTAACAGCTGCTTCACAAGCTCCTAGTATTCGGCCAAAACGTTTTTGAAAATGTTTTTTTCAACTTCTGCCTAAATTATTAACCCTTTGCTGCATGATGTGTCTTCAGGGCAACAATGATTGAACACGATGGAGCTCAGTCGATGAAAAAAATATTCAACAAAGGGTTAATATCGTTTAAAGAGCTACAAAAACACTTAATTTTTACGTTAAAGGGTGTTTTTACATTTCAGTTTAGTTTATCCACGCACATTTATAATAACCAGCGCATGATAAGGACATAAACCCGAACCGTGCTTGAACGCTTGGCAATTGAGTCCCAGATTATTTGGCATTTTTTGTGTTTGGCTAATTGCGATGCATTTTACATAATTTATTTTTAATTCATATTTGTATTAACTTGTATATATGCATAATTGATAGCACACATAACAAAGTGTATTTAACAAAAATGAAATATACAAAAACTAACCTGCAATTTAAAAGCCAAATGTGCGCGTACGCATTAGCCGAATTTCATAAAACTTTGTTAGCTCGAACAATATGTTCCATAATTTAACCAATGTGTTCCAATTACTTTTAGCTATGTCATTTTTGTGAGGACACGTTTTCAAATGTTTTTTCCTTTAGCACAAAAATTACCTTAAATTTTTTTTTGTTATATGCCACATATTTAGTGTCAGATTAATCCTTAAAAGTCCAACTAACTATTTCAACGAAACTTTTTGTTAATATTCTGCTGACAACTTAATTTTAGCAATGTTTCTCAAACTGCATAGATTTTGTTTGATGCACCCTATAAAAGACAAACTGTAAGAGCTTTCAAAATTTACGTAATATTTGAGCATTGAATTTGCTTACGAAAAAAACTCATTCGTCCATTTCTTAGCATAAGCAAGTTAAATAACTTTAAAACACATCATACTCAAGTAATACGGTGCAAACATTTTGCAAACTTTAAAGAACTTCTTGCTTTCTAATTTCATTTTATGATGCAAACTTACCGCTTTTTAGCAAACGCAACTTGGTCATTTCATGAGGGCCATGATCCTTTTCAACGGCAACTGTGCTTTTTGGCGTTGTAATTAAAAAGAAACATGATGATAAAATAGCAAACATGTTCAACATCAGGAAAATGAACATTTACAAAGACGATGTTACACAGTATGATTCAATATGTTACATACATACGCAACACCAAAAGCAATATGATCCCCTAAAATGTTGTTTTATTAATATATATTAGTATATGAAGAAATAATATTATGCAAATTATTATCACTTTGGCGGTCCTTATGAAAATTGGCAATAAGTTTTCTGTCTTAATAGACTGGAAATAATTACAGTGAAGAACGGAAAATTATATTTACCAAAACAAAGGAATAAAAATTTAAAAGACTTTTTCATAAAAAATGTGCCGATTGCAGATCACACCAAAATTTCTTGGCATGAGTGATTTCACTTCGGTTGTTTTGACATAACTAGCACAGGTGGCGGCTTATTAAAATAAATGTCCTTTCAAAAAACACATATTGACGTAAGTCAAACAATTATAAATTTTCAAATTTACATTTTGAAGTAGCATCACTTAAAAAGTATTATGGACGTACATGTTAAATTTGAATAAAAACTGTCTCTATTGAACCAAGTAAGTAAGTTTGTGGGTTGGTTAGGTACACAGTAATGACAATATACAGTAGAACCACTTCATTGAATTTTTTCGTGCCACGCATATCTTATTTCGCATATGAATAACATAGGGGCATCAGTCAATTGATTTTTTTGACCAATAGGAATGCTTTTGACCAAATGGCCAACGACGGCCAGTAATCTAATTTAATGCTCAGCAGCAAAGTTTCACACGAAGGGGACCTAATGTATACTCCTATACTGTGCATGGTTAGGTATTACGTACTTTTTCATGACGTATACGTAAGGGGTGAAGATAAAGCTCTCAGTTTTATGATGATTTTAAATATAACATTTGTCTTTTTTTATTGATATCTAAATGACATGATTTTTTTCAAAACTTTTTTCTTTTACATGTTTTATGGCTCTTCAAGCCTTACTTGACTTAAGTCAATTTTCTAAAAATCTTAGAGTTTTTTTCAAAAGTGTACACTGTTGTAATTATGTCCATCTTAATTGTGCCTTATTGTAAAATTTTGCTAAGTGAGACAGTGAGACATTTTAGTTTTAGACATCTAAAATTAAAAAAACAAAAGAAATCTTTGAGGAAACAACTTAATATTTCGTAGCACTTTCTTAAGCCTATATTACTCACTGGAATATAATTCGTGTAATAAAAATTAAAGCACAACATAAAGTTTTGATAAGAGCCATAGAAATAGACCAGAATAATTGTAAAATTGAATTTATTGTAACGTTTCGTCTTTACTCAAGGCATCTTCAGGCAAATAATAAATAGGATGTTAAGACAAGCTATTATATTTACAAAAAGTTATTAAATTACTACTAAAGGAGGCGGTGTCAAATGGATTATATGATAAGGAAGTTAGGAAGTAAAATAAGAGAAATTAAAAGAGGTTAAGTGAAATGGAGTTTTCTTGCACATTAAGTGAAGGCTTGTATTTATTGATTAGAAGGCTCTCATGAATGGAGAGTTCATAACAATCGTTAGAAGGGGAAATTAGTTTGTAGTCGTCTAAGTTGGGGGTGTGTCCGGTTGCGTTAATGTGAGCAAAAATACTTAATAACGCAGGGTGGGGAACTTGGTTGCCTGTAAGGGGGGGGGGGATATTCCCATGTGCTCTAAAAATCTGGTGTGTAGATGACGTGTGGTTTGACCCGCATACGAGGCGTTGTAGCTTCGACACTTGAAATAATAGACTACACCAGATCTCATAGATTTGGGAATTTTGTCCTTAAAGGGGAAGAAGAGATACGTTGGGAAGGGCGGAAAACGAATTTAATAGATATATGTGAGAAGGCTGCAGCACAAAGGCTATTGATTTGTGTGCGACTTGAAGGGAGTGTATGCCGGTGAAAAAAAGACAAAAATAAATGGGCATTTTATGAGCAGTGAGTGACTTTCTGGTAAAACCAAAAACGGTTTTCTTTCACGTATAACTGACCAAATCACACGTCGCTTCCTTAACAACATCTTTGCCCCCAAACCACTTGTCTTGACTTCTCGGTATTATAGTATAAATCTTGTGCTAAATATACCAATGTTAATACATATAGATACATTAGTTTTACAACAGATTTTATTCATGACTACCCTTTTGTGTATCAGCTGCATGAGTTACAATGATTTCAGTTTTTTACATACATATAAAATTCTTTACCATGCAGTTTGAAGGTCCATTTTACTTCAAATATATACATTATCTATTGCCCATGGCTTATTACCCAAGCTGAAAATACACGAAAGTCGATTAGTGGGTTTTATTGATATTACATCATATATTTACTATGTAAAATGGTTTATTTTTAATGTACATACAATCTTGCTTGCCAATATTTTTCTAAGAAGCAGAAAGCTCTAGCTACTGTTTGATAATTTAAAAAGTAGGAAAAAAATCGAATAAAACTCCCAAGCTTTAGACAAAATTAGGTTAATAAATCACAAAGGCAATAATAAAAGTTTCATAGTTTCAAAAGCTCATTAACAAATATACCTATTTTTTTTCATAACTCAGTTTTTGAAAGGAAGAATTAAGAACAAAAAAGTATTTTGTGTATAACTGTGAATATAGCATGTCACAAGCAGAGAAAAGACAGTTGCTACATTACATGGCTACTAACTATGATTACTTAAAGAAATGTTTTCTAATAATAAAAGTCCATCACCCTCATCTATTATAAACATGTGTGACTTATGTCTGTACAAACGGATTTCTTTCAAGAATTTTACTCAGCTGTTACAAAGAGAAACGAAACGACCTTTTTATTTGTCATCCTCAATCACCCAGTTTTAAATTCTGTAAAAGCAAGGCCATTTAAATATTTAAATACTTGCACGTAGAACATAATATGAATCAATTTGAGAAGAGTTCATTATTTCGTTTGCCCAAGTCCATTATATATAATTGGTACATGAAATAAAGCCGTCCTTGCCGAGACACATATCATTCATAAACATCGTACTGTACAACACAGAAGATAAGGGTCAATTTTCTTAAGAAAAGTCCAAAATATATGCTATAATTTAATCCGGTTACCATGTCATCGTGATTCGTTTATTAAATTTTCTTTTCGCATCATCAAAATCCGTAAAAACGACAAAATGCCATATTTTAAGATTTTTACATAAGCGAAAAGATTTCTCCTAATTTTGAATGCATTTTATAGTGCACGTGCCCGCCATTACAAAGCATAAATTGGTTAAACTTTATGTCATTTAACATAAACAACACTCCACGCAAGTTAACTACGCAGTTACTTAACTTTCCAACTAACTACGTTTTGTGCAACGCAGTTAAGTTGAGCAGTTAAGTTTCTACTGTTAAGGAGTTAACTACCGTAGTAAGCGTTAAATTTAGTTAAAGTTGATTGCATTTTTATACAACCGGGCCCCAGGTTTTGTGCGTTTGGTCAGTTTTATTTTGCATTGCAATATTTAATTTGTTGATAACTTATATTTTAATTTGCATCGTGGCTAAATTGTTGTTTATGAAATTTAAGGCGTTGTTTGTATATTGACGAATTACTCTGTGAATTGCAGATACGGCAACCGTAAATTATACATGAGTAAAAGGACAAAGTAGTTGTAGATATTGCATACACATATGATGTTATAGATCATAAAAATACACGTTGACTGATCTTGAAATCAGTAAAAACTGATAGAACATTGTTTCTGATTGTTGTCTTTAAACCTTTTATTGACCATATTCTTGAATATATACATCCATATTTTACAAATAATGTAAAAACATTCTTTCAGCTGCTCAAACAAATTTTAATTATTTAAAAGGACGTTTTGGACAGTATTTAAAAGCGTAGATGCACATCAAACAAATTTCAATTATTTAAAAGGACGTTGTGGACAGTACATAAAAGCGTAAATGCACATCAAACAAATTTTAATTATTTAAAAGGACGTTTTGGACAGTATTTAAAAGCGTAGATGCACATCAAACAAATTTCAATTATTTAAAAGGACGTTGTGGACAGTACATAAAGCGTAAATGCACATCAAACAAATTTCAATTATTTAAAAGGACGTTGTGGACAGTATATAAAAGCGTAGATGCACATCAAACAAATTTCAATTATTTAAAAGGACGTTGTGGACAGTACATAAAAGCGTAAATGCACATCAAACAAATTTTAATTATTTAAAAGGACGTTGTGGACAGTACATAAAAGCGTAAATGCACATCAAACAAATTTTAATTATTTAAAAGGACGTTGTGGACAGTACATAAAAGCGTAAATGCACATCAAACAAATTTCAATTATTTAAAAGGACGTTGTGGACAGTACATAAAAGCGTAAATGCACATCAAACAAATTTTAATTATTTAAAAGGACGTTGTGGACAGGGGCGGATCTAGGATTTTTCAAACATCAGTCATAAAATGTCGGAGGCGCTCCGCACCTGGGGGGGTCTGAGGCATTCTCCCCTGCGAAATTTTGAATTTCAGAGTCTTGAAAATGCCATTTTCAGCGTTTTAGAGCAATACAAAATGTATTTTGTGGGCATCGTTTTTGCGTAAAACAACACATTTTTCTTACGTTTTTTTTAAAAAAATAAAGTGAACAATACTTGAATGTTTTGCCAAATATTTAGGCTCATTATCATGCCAAATATATGGCTCATTAGCATGTCTAGGAACGTAAATTTATTTTACAATAATGCTATTCAAAAACAGATATATTCTTCAAAATTTCTACCAAGTTGTCAGGCATAGACCCCCCTAGAGACTCCCATTCAAACCTCTATGTAATAAGTTAAGTTAGAAATTTGGTACTACAAGTGACAGTTCATAGATATAGAAAAGCTCAGACTTCAAACCATGCAAGTTTATTGTAACTCTTTACCCATCTCCACATCAGTGCCAGCAAATTCACCTTTGAGAAAAACTCAAAATTTTTTCTGCCAAAGATTAAGCAAAATTATCAGAGTGAAAATTTGCAGTTAAGGTTAGCTTAATGCCATAAATGTTTATTAGGCATTTCACTAGACTATTATCTTCTGCAAGGTG